AAGAACTGATATTCCGAAAATTCTTTCCCTAAGTTTTCTTGATCTACCTTACCACCTCAAGCCTTGCTTCTTATATTTTGGCATCTTTCCTGCAGACCATAGAATTACTGACAGAGTTTTATATAAGTTGTGGATTGCTGAAGGTTTTGTTAGAAAAGGAAAGAACAAGACATTAGAAGAAGTTGCTGAAGAATACTTGGACGAGCTCATCCAAAGAAGCTTGGTTTTGTTTGAAGTAAAAAATGGAGTAGATAGATTATGTAAAGTTCATGATTTGATGCATGATATCATCTTAACAAGAGCTGGTGAATTGTGCTTTTGTCAAACTTTAAGTGAAAGTAAGTCTAGTCTTAGTGAAAGGATCCGTCGACTGTCAATTCATCATACAACGGAAACTGTTTCTGAAATGGTGAGAGATTACAGGATTCGATCTGTCTTTCTCTTTGACATTCATAAATGTTCCAAGTCATTCCTATCCTATTTGTTTGAGAATTTCAAACTTTTGAAAATATTGGATCTTCAAGACGCTCCTCTTGATAATCTTCCAGAAGAAATAGGGAATTTGTTCCACTTGAGGTATTTGTATCTACAAGGTACAAAGGTGAAAGTGCTTCCGAAGTCGATTGGTAAGCTACGCAATCTGCAAACATTGGATATCACTGATACCTTAGTGCGAGAGCTACCACTTGAGGTTAATAAACTAAGAAATTTACGACATCTTATCGCTCTCTCTATTAACAAAGATATTGGATTCAGTTTGGACACGTATTACGGTGTGGGGATAAGAGAAGGAATCGGGAGGTTGGAGGAGTTACAAACACTATCTCGTGTGGAAGCATACCCTGACAGAGTTGGTTTCATGAAAGAGCTACAGAAGCTGAAAAATTTGAAATATTTGGGCATTTTAAAAGTTACAGCAGAAATGGGGAAGGCTCTGGGAGTGTCCATTGAGAAAATGAACCACCTTGAGGAGTTTTCATTGACCTCAATCAATGAGGATGAAGTTTTAGATTTGAATAACATTTCGTCTCCTCCTCCTTTTTTGCATTGGCTCCAATTGACTTGTCGGCTACAACACTTGCCGAGTTGGATTTCAAAGCTACACAATCTAAAGGGGTTAGAGTTAAATTTCTCCAGATTAACCGACGAGCCACTAAGATGCCTCAAAGTTTTGCCCAATTTGGCATTCCTTGACATGTTCGAGGCATATGAAGGAGAGGAATTGCATTTCGAGGAAGGTGGTTTTCAAAAACTCAAGGAACTTAAATTATATAATTTGGAAGGACTAAAGGTGGTGAAAATAGACAGAGGAGCACTGCCTCTTCTTGAAAAATTGGTGTTTGTGTCATTCCCACTAATGAAGGAAATGCCTCCTGGTATTCAACACCTAACGAACCTCAAATACCTTAAAATTAGGGGCATGCCAAGGGAGTTTGTGGTTCGTTTACAACCGGATGAAGGCGCTGATTACTGGAAAGTTCAGCATGTACCGCATGTGGATTCATCACTATAAGCAAGAGCGAGCAAGTTGCCTAGCAATGTCAAGTTACACAAGTACGTCCCTATATCCCACTCTGTAAAAGAGTTTCTCCAATTACAATTGCATATGTTAATAATTTATTTCACTTGTATGAAACTTATTTCTCTCAGAATTGCTCTACTTACTAGACCTGTTTTCTTTGTCATCATATATATACACATTTCTTGATATGAAAATTTTTACTTACCTAGCTTGGTCAAATTTTTATTGTATTGGATTTAGCAATTAAACCATGCATACAATGCACTGTTAGAAATATACTTGTTTTCTTAATTTCCTCAAGAAATGGTTTATATACAATTGTCTGGCGTGTAACACTTAAGGTAGTGTTCTTCTTAAGAAAGGCTTGCAGCCATTTTTCTTAAATGTATATCGATCATTACGAGTACGAAATTGATTTTGGATTTTTTTTTCTTCCAGGCGTATTGTTCAGCTCAACTGCTATTCCCGCTTCATGGAGTCCGAGGGAATTAATTAGCTCAAACAGGGCCGGGAATTTATCAATTCTCCTCAGTCATTGTGTTATGAAGTCTGCAAATTATTTACTTTCAGTTTAGTGTTTTTATGGATATGAACTCTTATTTTTCTTTTAGTTTGGTATGTTTGTTTAATAATGATGAGCACATAAAAGGATTGCTCAGAGAAGGCAAAGTATTTGTCTTTTCTCTTCAGACGTGATTTAAGCTGTTGAATTTGCACAGCTGTTTGTATGATCAAGCACTTATGTAGTTATTTTATTTTGTGATGCATAATGCTATTAGCATGGCCAGTTTTCCAAATTATACGCTGAACATTGATTTTTTTATAGTAAAAAAATTCTTTTAATGGTCTTTTTCTTTGTTTGTTTGTTTTTTTTTTTTTTTTGTCGATTTTTATCCCGGCAGAAATATTTTTCTTCTAGAGGTTGCATAATTTTGGCTTCTTACATTTTGAAATATTTAGATGGTGGAATTACTACAATAAAGTTTCACAATTTATTGATATATTATTCACGTGTGCAACACACAATTTTCACTGGCTATATTCCTAGAAAAATCTCCTAGATTGATCAGTAATAAATTAGCTGATGAGAACCTCCTGATTGAATACAAGTACGAGTACTTCGTCAAGTGCCTTTGCAAGTCTTGGTGGAAAACCCCTTTAATCCACGGCAAATGGAAGAGAAAGAAGGCCAAAGCAAGTATTGGACACGTGGCGAGAGATAAGTGGAAGCAAGGGAGAAAGTGAGAGAGAAGCCATGTGGCGCGCGTTGGGTGGCTGGGCGCTGCTCCTTGTATGTTGACAACTCTCTGCTGGGGTAGTTAGTTACACGCGCCAATATGAGCGCTGGTGGAGCAGATCCAACGACCAATATGGAGATTTTCGTGCTTTTTACACTCTCCAGTCTGGGATTGGTTAATGCCGAATTCCGAGTTGAATTTCTGATTTGTTTGTTTGAATTTTGCCGCATTTAAGCTCTAAATTTTGCAGTTAGGCCCACCTGTCTCCAAATTAATTACACAAACGAGGAAACTAATTATTTTTGAAGGGAAATTAAAATAAAAACTATTAAAATTAAATTAAAAAGACTAAAATAAAATAAATCTAAAATGAAAAGTAAATATATTAGAATTTAAAATAAAGTAAAATATGTTATAAAAAGAAACATGAAAATTTTTAGGTGTGTTTAGAGCTCATTCTAAAATTATTTTATTTTTTATATGAAAATGGAAATAAAAACGTTTTCAATCTCAAATATAAATCATTTTTGAAAATGCGTTTAATAGTTTTAGCAAGAGATTGTTTTCAGTATAAAAAATTCATTTGTTTCGTGTTTCTTCAACATATTAGATGACTTTTTTTTCCTAAAATGTCTTTAAATAAGCGTCGTTTAATGTCAAATTTGTTGTACTGACAATTATTTTTGTGCTCTTTTTTTTTTTTTACTTTAATTACAACAGAAATATTTTCTTTTGCAGGTTGCATAATTAAGCTTCTTGGGAATCTTTGGGTTATCATGGCATTAATTTATCAAGTGTAGAAATATTAGATAAGAAATGAGGTTAAAGTTGTTCTGAAATCATGTTAACACGAAACATTCAAGTTTTACTTTCTAACGTTAGAAAAGTAAAGAAAAGCTGCAAAACTAAACTCTGGAGAACTAATACAAAAGGGTTATTAGGAGTAACTCTAATGCAATGCGAAATTTTTTTTGCCAATGCGCTAAAGTTTAGCATTTGAGTGAAAAAGTCACTCTTCATTTATTTTTATGCTGAATTTGACAAATGTTATGATTGGTGGCAAATTCGCCGCCAAATACAAAAAATGCGATCTGCTATCTTAAACTTTTAATCTAACAAGTTGCTATTATTTGTATTTATTAAAAAGAGAAAACAAGTTGCTATAAGAAAACAATTTCTTATTTCCCATTTTCAACAAATTTCTCTAAAATTTTACTACTCCCACACAGTTTGACTAACCATCAAGTGCTCTCTCTTTCTCTTCAAAGTTTCTCTTTGGAGTGTCGTGCATGGCTGGAGCTCCGACGCCGTCTCTAGGTGCGTCGCTAGGCTTCCTATTTTGAAATTTAGTCCCCAGACTCGCGTCGTCATCATCTTCTCCGTGGTGGTGGCACTGTGTCTAGTGGCACATTTGTCGGAGTGGATCTTGTTGGTTGCCGAATCGAATTCGGGTGCGGAAGCGTAGGGAAGCAGCGGATCGTGTATAACAAAAATTTTCACAAAACTTTTGAGATACTCTATAGATTATATTAATTTATGCACAAATAAATTAATCGCATTAATTTATATTATTCAAGGATCAACCGAAAAAATACCTGGAAGCCGACTCGGATGATAACTTGAATTTCTTTGACACGAACAGTCCTTGCTCCAAGCTTTATGTTTAGAATACCAAAGTCTTCCACGTCAATTCCTTGATTCCACGTAGACGTGTGTGTGGGCACACGTGAGACAAAACAGGTTTCTTAAACACTCGAATTTCCACAAACACCAACGCATGCACGATGTGGAATTTTTTTGGAGAAAAATTTTGCTCTTTATTTTTCACTATGAGAAATTTTGGCCACAACAAACTTAGCGCTGAAAAATATCTTTCAAATTGTATCCACAATTTTCTATCTTTCTCATATTTAAAGAGTAGAAGTCAAACTTCAAAATAGAATCAAATCCTTATCTCCAATTTTGAATTTGGAACAAAAAATCCTTTCCCCTTATCCACAAGGTGGCCGGCCACACTCTAGGGTTTTATCCCTATGTGTGGCGCCTATATCAGATAGGGAAGGAAGAGATTTTTTTAGAATTCCGTAATTCTAAAATTCCCATTTTGCCCTTTGTGTCTGGTAGAATTACAAGGACGACGCGGGGGCTAATGGACCTATAATTCTGAGCTCCAATAAAATTAATAATTAATTAAACACTTTAATTAATTTATTAATTCTATTAATTCCAATAGTTACTCCACTATAAACTTGGAATTGACCTCTCGAAATTATAGACATTAATTACTTCTAAACTGTGAAGTATTCATTTGATATAGTCATTACATATAGATCAATCCTCCATAAATAATTCATAATTAGAGTCAGGTAGAATCCGTTAACCTCTCTAATTACATCTTTATCCTTGAGTATCATTGATTCTCTAATGGATGGTGATTCATAAAACACATTTATGAACCAGAGCGCTCTTACTAATCCAAGTACCGAATCAACACTCAAGAGAATTATTTATCTGTTTCTTTCTCAAGAAGGAATGGATTCCATCTCGTATAATAACATTCCCAGCTACCTATTTCATTATGTCTCCAAAATACAAGGAATAGGATTCAGGGTCTCAGAATCCGTACCGAGTAAATCAAAAGACATAAATCCATAAATAGGAGTTTGTTAAGAACTCAGGATTAAGATCATCCTATATATGACCATCGGTAGACCCAATTAGAATTTCTATGCTTAACGAAAATTATTAGAAATTCATATTGTGTCTGTGTCCTTGTTCCACATAATCTTATTATGCGAAATACACTCATTCAATATCTCACCATATTAACAGTGCGGATAACACCGTTCCATTCTAAATGGGAATGACATGTATTAATAATGTTTTAATTAAAGATTCTGAACTTTAATTAAATTCATCATGAACAATGTTTTTGATTATTATCCTTAAACATTATCCTCTCGTATATAACACTTATATACTATGTTTAAGGTTACATAAACAATCACGGAATTTTCATTTGATATTCATAAAATATTCATAAATATATGCACATAAAATGATGAATAAACTCTTTTATTAATTAAATAATAAATATCCTATTACATCTCATGCTTCTAGGACACTATTTCCAACAGATCTAACACGCTTTAGAAGTGGGGTGTCATTCGTTTAGGCTGTTGTTTTCAACATGTTCGCTGGATGGTGGTCATGCTCCCTTAGCATTTTGTTTCGTACGGTGGTGGGCTTCTCTTGGAGATGGTATTTTTGATTGCCCATGGTGGTTGTGGAGGGTGAGTTTCACTTGCAGTTCGATGCCATTTTCTAGATCTCGTTGTAACTCCTTCAAAGTCCTCTGCCTTTTTGGGCGGTGCTCTCACCGATTGTCTTCTCGTCGGAGTCGTTTGACGGTGGGTCTTGGGATCTTTTGTGTTTATTGTGTTTTTATTTGTAGTATGTTTTCTTTACTGTAATAACCAGGGCTTCCACCTTGTCGTCTTGGTTTGTTTTTTTGTGTCCGTTGGACTAGTGTTTTGGCGGTGTTTGGTGTGGCCTTAGTGCTACAATATTTTGTCCTTTCATCGCTCAAAAGCTTATCTTACTGAAAGGGGTTTTATCAAATAGAGGCTTAGGTGTGCTCGATCTTAGTGTGCCGAGGTATTCTCCCGTTTTTGAGCCTCAGGTGTACGCTTGTTCTCCTACTGGCTCATTAGCCTTATTGTGATGTTTGTTACTCTATTTTTATTCAAATGCAAGTTTCCTAAGATATGAATTTTTATTTATAAAAAAAAAATATTCCCACATAGGTAAATGCTTTCCTACAAAAAAAAAAAAAAAGTTCAACAAAAGGACGAACACGCCAAACAACAAATTTCTCGGGTCATTAAAATTTAAGATTAATTATAAAAATTCCCCTTAAATTATACCCCTTGTAACACTTTGTTTCTTGATCTTTAAAATGTAACATATGTTTCCGCTGAACAATGAAATGTTAACAAAAAACCCCATTTTGTTAAGTTTTTAACTTAAATTAACATTTAATTTATTATATTGAAGGTATTTTAGTAATTCTATGGTTTAAATTTAATTTGAATTTAAACTAATTTAAGTTTTTTTTTTTTTTAAAAAAACTTCATAAATTTTTTTATTCTACAAAAAAAATTCATAAATTTTTAACTTACATTCAATCAATAATAGATGTATTATAATTAAAAGTTCAAATTTAAACTAGTTTTAAATTCAAATTCAATTTTAAACCATAGAGCTAGTAAAATACCTCAAAATAACAAATTAAATGTTAATTTCTGTTAAGAAACCTAACGGAGGAAGCTTTTTTTGTTAACATTTCATTGTTCAAGGGGGTAGGGAAGTTACATTTAAGGGGGTAGGGAAGTTACATTTTAAAGATTGAGAATAAAATGTTATTTTGTAATTAATCTTAAAATTTAATGTAAAAATGTGTTTCTTAAATGATTTACCGGCCAAAGCTAAAAAAAAAGTACATCAAGGAGCGAAAGATATGGACATATATATGTGTTAAGAGAACTTTTATGGTACAAAA